TCCGCCGTTCTTTGTTCCACAATTGTTGGGGGATGTGTGTCCGCCGTTCTTTGTTCCACAATTGTTGGGGGATGTCTTTCCCCCGTGTGTTTGTTCCACAATTGTTGGGGGATGTGTGCCCGCCGTTCTTTGTTCCACAAGTGTTGGGGGATGTCTTTCCACCGTGTGTTTGTTCCACAATTGTTGGGGGATGTCTTTCCACCATGTGTTTGTTCCACAATTGTTGGGGAATGTCTTTCCACCGTGTGTTTGTTCCACAATTGTTGGGTGATGTCTTTCCACCATGTGTTTGTTCCACAATTGTTGGGGAATGTCTTTCCACCGTGTGTTTGTTCCACAATTGTTACTGGATGTGTGTCCGCCGTTCTTTGTTCCACAATTGTTGGGGGGGGGGGGGGATGTCTTTCCACCATGTGTTTGTTCCACAATTGTTGTGGGATGTCTTTCCACCGTGTGTTTGTTCCACAATTGTTGGGGGATGTGTGTCCGCCGTTCTTTGTTCCACAATTGTTGGGGGGGGGGGGGTGTCTTTCCACCGTGTGTTTGTTTCACAATTGTTGGGGGATGTCTTTCCACCGTGTGTTTGTTCCACAATTGTTGGGGGATGTCTTTCCACCATGTGTTTGTTCCACAATTGTTGGGGGATGTCTTTCCGCCGTGTGTTTGTTCCACAATTGTTGGGGGATGTCTTTCTACCGTGTGTTTGTTCCACAATTGTTGGGGGATGTGTATCCTCCGTTCTTTGTTCCACAATTGTTGGGGGATGTCTTCCACCATGTGTTTGTTCCACAATTGTTGGGGGATGTGTGCCCGCCGTTCTTTGTTCCACAAGTGTTGGGGGATGTGTGTCCGCCTTTCTTTGTTCCACAAGTGTTAGAGCAATGGCTCTCAACCTTCCTAAAGCCGCGACCCTTTTATACAGTTCCTAATGTTGTGTTGACCCCCCCCCCAAAAAAAAAAAAAAAACCCATGCAGTTTTTTTCGTTGCTACTTCATAACTGCATTGAATATGTGTTTTGTGGTTACGGTTTTTGCAATTGTTGGGGCTCTGTCTGCCACTACATGCTTGATTTCCTAGTTTTTATTTTACCCACGCGTGTTGACTACCGGCTAGATCCGGGTTTCCTTGTTGTCATCCGCGATTCATTTCCAAGAATGTCTCACGTGACTTGAATCCATGATAGGACCGGCGAGAAAAGGGCTACAGGCTGCCTTAGACGACATGTGGTCTGTACAAACAAGCAAGTGTAGTACACAGAACACAGGTCGTGTGACATCATTTAACACACTTATTTGGAAATCCAACTGTGCACCGACAGCGACTGTACTGACACTTATTCCAATTGTGTGCATTTGTGCGCATGTGTATTTCTTTTTCTTTCTTCAGTTCATTTTTTTTCAATAACCCCCCCTCCCCCCTTTTTTTCCCCTTTCCCTACCCTTTTTTTTTTGCCCTTTAAAGCACAGTTTAGTATGAATAGGGTGAATAAAATATTTTGAGCTGAAAACGGGACACCCTAAGATAGTCAATTTTATTATACCACACATCCCTCCCCCTTTTCCCAGCCACCAATTTCTGGCTATTCGTCACTCCGAACTTTACTTTTATTATTGAACTTTTGCGCGCACATTCGTTCGATAGATTTTGTTTATTTGTATGTAGACTGTTGGTTTTTATGCATCTCCTGTAGAAGCACTTCCATGAAGCAAAACCCCTAAAAAGTCGACTTTTACGACATGCTTGTTTAGGGGTAGTGGGTCTATTCTGTTTTCGCCAGACATTTGGGGCCTGGAACCCACACAGAAAGGGCCATATCTAAAAATCGGCACTGTCCCAGTAGACACCGGACGTCTGGTCAACGTGTTCAGATTGTCCAGAAGTGCAGCTACTGACTTGCTGTTGTGACTTAGTATGACACCTATAACTGACAGCACTAGAATCGCCCCCCCCCCCCCCCCCGCACACACAAACGTTTAAGAGGACAGGAACCGATTATATTTACTGTAAGTAGCATTTAGGGAATAGGCTTGCTGGGAAAATGGCTTTTAAAACAGAGTGTGTGACGTCATTTCCTCCCATTGGCCGTCAACACATTTGATGCTTTAGAACAGTGGTTCTCAACATTCCTAATGCAGCGACCCTTAAATACAGTTCCTCGTGTTGTGGCGACCCTTAAATACAGTTCCTCATGTTGTGGCGACCCTTAAATACAGTTCCTCATGTTGTGGCGACCCTTAAATACAGTTCCTCGTGTTGTGGCGACCCTTAAATACAGTTCCTCGTGTTGTGGCGACCCTTCAATACAGTTCCTCGTGTTGTAGCGACCCTTTAATACAGTTCCTCGTGTTGTGGCGACCCTTAAATACAGTTCCTCGTGTTGTAGCGACCCTTAAATACAGTTCCTCGTGTTGTGGCGACCCTTAAATACAGTTCCTCGTGTTGTGGCGACCCTTAAATACAGTTCCTCGTGTTGTGGCGACCCTTAAATACAGTTCCTCGTGTTGTGGCGACCCTTCAATACAGTTCCTCGTGTTGTGGCGACCCTTAAATACAGTTCCTCGTGTTGTGGCGACCCTTCAATACAGTTCCTCGTGTTGTGGCGACCCTTCAATACAGTTCCTCGAGTTGTGGCGACCCTTTAATACAGTTCCTCGTGTTGTAGCGACCCTTAAATACAGTTCCTCGTGTTGTAGCGACCCTTAAATACAGTTCCTCGTGTTGTAGCGACCCTTAAATACAGTTCCTCGTGTTGTGGCGATCCTTTAATACAGTTCCCCATGTTGTGGCGACCCATAAATACAGTTCCTCGTGTTGTGGCGACCCTTAAATACAGTTCCTCGTGTTGTGGCGACCCTTAAATACAGTTCCTCGTGTTGTAGCGACCCTTCAATACAGTTTCTCGTGTTGTGGCGACCCTTAAATACAGTTCCTCGTGTTGTGGCGACCCTTCAATACAGTTCCTCGTGTTGTGGCGACCCTTCAATACAGTTCCTCGAGTTGTGGCGACCCTTTAATACAGTTCCTCGTGTTGTGGCGACCCTTAAATACAGTTCCTCGTGTTGTAGCGACCCTTAAATACAGTTCCTCGTGTTGTAGCGACCCTTAAATACAGTTCCTCGTGTTGTGGCGATCCTTTAATACAGTTCCCCATGTTGTGGCGACCCTTTAATACAGTTCCTCATGTTGTGGTGACTCCAAACCACGAGGGATGGATGTGAACCCCCCTCCCCCCCCGCACCAGTTAGAAAAACTTTTGGCAGAGGGCCTCAGCCCCAACACCGACCACGTCCTCATCACCACCTAGGCAAAAACTGGGTAGTGGGGGGGGGTGGGTGGGGGGTGGGTGGGTTATACCCCATTAGGCCTCCCCCTTCTGAATAATATTAGAAAGCCTTGGGGAACTCGCAACCACGCCCCTGTACCACCTGACACCATTTGTGGGCAATTAATTGGGTGGTGTGAGGTGGGGCCTGGGGGCTCAGATCTCTGAGTGCCCCCTCCATAAAACATTAAAGGGCCAGGGCTGAGGCCCCCGACCCAATATTTTTGTAAGCGGGTCAAGATGCCCCCTTTAGTCATGCATATCTTCTCATTTGTCTTTGAGTTCACCGACTGAAAACTCAGGAGGAAAATTCTGGTTGTTCTTCTGGACTTCAGTCTTGTTCCAGAACTCGTTTTGCGTTTACATACATTTTACAGATCTGGCTTATTTGTATGCAGACTGTTGGTTCCTTGCTTCTCAGGCAGAAGGAAATCTCTAATTAGTCAACTCTTACGACATCTTTGTAAGGAGAGCAGTGAGTTAATACCCCCCCCCCCCCCGCCCAAACCCACACAGAGAAGTCATGTGAACACATGATCTCCTAAAGTATTTCTACATTTCATATTATTACAAGGAATCTCTTTGAACAAAGTTACAAAAAGGGGAGTGAAAAAAAAGGGGGGGGGGGGGTTCGGAGCGGTACTTCTCAACCACGGCCTTTTCTATTTATTAGAGACGGCGTTGTTCTCAATCTGCCAACTGCCTCGACCCGTTTATATAGTTCCTCATGTTGTGGTCAGCCCCAACCATACAATTATTTTCGTTGCTCCTTCATAACTTCAGTAATTTGTCCCCCCCCCTCCTGATGGTCTTATGCGACCCCTGGGAAATGGTCGTTCGACCCCGACAAGGATCGCTACCCACATGTTGAGAACTGCTGGGCTAGAGGAACTTGAGTCCTCAGGTTCTGGCTACTATGTGAGGCAACCCCCCCCACCCTTGCTCGTCAAGACATCCTTTCTGAACTCAGCTAATGTTTTTGTTGCTTAGTGTTGTTTTTAGATAGGACGAAAGCAGTATACCGGTAATTCAGCAATGCTGGCATCACTGATTATTCTAGCTGAAATCATTTCTCGTGTAGTCGCTAGACTGATGTTTATAGGCTATTTAAAAAAAATAAATAAAGAAGCTTACTCTAATTATGCGGGGGGGGGGGGGGGGGAAGGGGGGGGGGGGGGGGGTCAAAAAAGACCTGATCTTCCATATTTCGGTGTCTAATGTCGGCGTTGGTGGGGGTTGTTGATCATCTTGCTCGCCCAGGCCAGTCGACAAACTACAGATTTCGCCAATTTTACAGAAATATCTGGTTTAAAAAATATGAATGTATTTTCTAAAAAAAAAAAATAAACTATTCCTAATCAACATTTAAACAATTATAAACTTTGTTCTACAAAAAAAAAAAAAAAAATTAATTACTAGCTTCCAATTCCTTCCAAAATCTGTGTTTGAGAAGAATAAAGATTTGAATTGTAAATACAATTCCATTAAAGTATAGTTTCGTGACATTGTTGGTCCAACTTCCAGGAAGCCCAGATTTGATGACGTACTACACACGGGCTTGCCTCATGTTGGTGAAACTGGCCAGTTGTGAGATAAAAGTTGATCGTTAAACACAAACTTGGCAGTCTAGATATCAGCTCCAGTAGATCATTTGACAAACTTTGATTGTGTTTCATCATGGCAATCCGTGCTCAGTTTGAGGGGAACAATGAAGTGGGAGTTTTTGCCAAACTGACAAATAACTATTGTCTGGTCGGCATCGGAGGCTCAGAGAATTTTTACAGGTAGATATTTTTAACTAGTTCTATTGAAGTTATCAATTTAAATAATTAAACTAACGTACTATTTTATTATTAATTTTGTTAGGAGCTTGTTATATGTCGTTGTTAATGTTTTTTGTTTTTGAAATTAGTTTTTCCAAATATTCACTATTCACGTTTTGAAAACATTTTTATGAGCCACACTAAAACACATTTTTTAATTCCAACCAAGAAAACAATGCATATCATGATTAAACATTTTAGTTAAACATTTAAAAAAGTTTAATCTGAGCTAAATAAATATCGTATACAGAACCCATATAATATACTGAGAGAGACTACCTAGAATCTCAGAAGCTAAAGAAGTGTTAACTACTTAAACTACTGTTTGGTTAATATCCAACCTGAGCCAGATATAAGATAAAACTATCAGACTATAGTTATAGTAGACTATCATCATCATCATGTGCCCTGCCAGTTGTAGACTATAGGATAGCAATAACACAGATGAATAATGTATATTTATCACTGCATGACATTTGATTGAAGTCCCATTATTAGTAAATGTATCGGCTGATGGATGTTTGACCAGCCTGAGACATGAAATTGGGCTGGATGGTGAAGTCGTCAAACTTATCCGGACACAGAACAGCTGTTTCATGTGGTAGACAGTTATTGCCTGCACCACTTGACAAGGCACTTAACGATGACGATGGACACAGAACAGCTGTTTGTGGTAGACAATTATTGCCTGCACCACTTGACAAGGCACTTAACGATGACGATGGACACAGAACAGCTGTTTGTGGTAGACAGTTATTGCCTGCACCACTTGGCAAGACACTGAACGATGACGATGTATTGTATTCCTATAAATTGATTAATTGACATGACTTTCGGTATATTTCAGTGTCTTTGAGGGTGAACTTGGCGATACAATTCCTGTTGTACACGCCAGTATTGCAGGGTGTCGAATCATTGGGCGTATGTGTGTAGGTAAGTGGTGGCACTGCACTTAGTTATTGTTTGCATTTAGGTGTGTATATATGGTAGCAGAAACATGCTTGCTAGCCTGAGCACTTGTGGTGTCAGTCCACATCATGACCAAGGCCCTCAGTTTTATCATCATCTTGTTGTGCGATTATGTGTCACATTGGGCTCGCACTCTTGTCCTTATTTCATTCTGTTATGTGCAATTTTTTTCCATATCATGGATGGATACACCAGTAGACCTGTATGACCTGTCTAAGGTTGTCATAACAATGGGGAGGTACTGCCTCCGTAGACGTCGAGATTAGAGCACTGATTGATCAGCATTCACGCACAGAAGTCATTTACACAGATGGGTCATTCAAGTGCAGGACAAGATCAGCATAGGCATACACAGCACAAAGGATGGGACAAATAATACAAGAGGATAGCGGTGTTTACCAGACGACTATGTCAGGCATGACCATGGAGATAGCTTGATAGCAGAACAAGCAGCCACACATGCAGTAATTGTTTGAGACTATGAATATGCTTCAGAAAATCGCTACAGATAGTCTCTGCATTTGGAAGTCACAGTTAACCTCCATCATCTGGATCTACACACCTGGGTACACAGGAAAAAATGGTAATGAAAGAGATGACCAGCTGGCAAGTAATGCACCAATGCAAATGGGAAAAAGCATGGACAGAGCTGGAATCATCAACACCGAATGGATTAGATTGGGAGATAATGGCGAATCTGACTCTAACACGACTTCGTGACCGAGAAGTTAAGCTTGGTGAAGCATGACTATGCCGTCTTAGAGGTAAAGACAAAAGATACTATAACCAACTCCTCATGGAAAAAAAAAGAAGAACCTTGGAGAGGCCGCTGCATCGGAGGACTGAGCACGCATAGGGATGCCCAATGTGCAAAGACGTCGATTGTGATAACATAACATATGGATGGAAACCTATTCAACAATTTTTGATTCTCTCATCATTTGCCTTAGGATTTCTCTTGGACTCTGATGTTGACCTGCTCTAACAGAGGTATCATAAAATGTCTTCAATAAAGGCAGCTGGTGAAATGCTGAACGCAGGTCTGGGGCTGACACTGGTCTGGGTTTCACGCACGTCTAACACAACCATGTGCCAGGCAGCTGGTGAAATGCTGAACGCAGGACTCATTGATGTCTACAAATATAAGTCTTAACTTTGTTTGCCTGCAAGGTACAGTTATCTACTGTTCATGCAGGTCTGGGGCTGACACTGGTCTAGGTTTCACGCACGTCTAACACAACCATATGCCAGGCAGCTGGTGAAATGCTGAACGCAGGACTCATTGATGTCTACAAATATCAGTCTTAACTTTGTTTCCTGCAAGGTACAGTTATCGGCTCTCCTTTAAATAACGGTCGCTTGCTGGACGGCGACGGTTGGTTAGTTGGAGTTCACTCCCTTGGCTGCATTGCAAATACGGAGTGGAAAAGTCACGTATCAAAAACAAGGTCAACATGGCATTTAGACATCGAGCTCCGACTAACATTAGCAACCACGTTCTTGCGAAGCACGACTTAGTTGCCACGCATGTGACTCCTGCAGATCTGTATGCCTTAATGGCCGATAAGTTTGCGTGGTTAGGGGTAGAGTTAGGGTTAGATGTGAAAATTGTGACGCAGGAGTTCCAAATAATCGCGCACAGTGACATACACACCCAAACAATTGACGGACTGTGGATGCTACTCAAACAGACAATTCGCCATCAATTGGGCACCAGCCGCGCACTATTGCTGTCATATTTAGGAGAATTCCTGTGGCGCCACTGCCACAAGCATCAGATTATCGGCCATTATTTGGAACTCCTGCGTCAAAATTGTCACATCTAACCCTAACTCTACCCCTAACCCTACACAACCGTATGATGACAGGTAAGTATGTCATTTGTTTCGTTCCCTCTTTACGCTCCGAATTTGCAATGCAGCCAAGGGAGTGAACTGCGACTAAGCGACCGTCGGCTTTCCAGCTGGCGACCGTTATTTAAAGGAGAGCCCAGTTATCTACTGTTCATGCAGGCCTGGGGTTGACACTGGCCTAGGTTTCACGCACGTCTAACACAACTATAGGCTAGACTGAAAACACAGCTTGGTCCCACATGTCTGATGTACCAATAGTGGTCAAAGGATCCTTGATTTCTGTCCCTGCTTGCAAATCTTCATGAGGGAGACAAGAGAATTCTATACCAGGTGATTAGTTGGGGGGGGGGGGGGGCCTTGCTAACAAATAAGCCAGATCTTGTAAAATGAATGTGCATGCAGCACTAAAGTGAAACAGTGCCAGAGTCCAGAAATGGATAAACAGTGAGATGTAAATACAGGAAATAGGACACTAGTCATTGAGGTGACTGTACAGGAAATGGGACAGCACACTTAGTGAGGTGACAGCACACATAATAGGGCAGTACAGTGAGGTGACAGTACTAGACAGTACCTGAAATAAGTAGTACAGAAAATGTAAACAGGCACTGGACAATTCAGGAAATCTGGACAGTAACAGTTTTACAGTAGATAGTACATGAAACTTGGACAGTGAGAGTCAGTGGTGGACAGTAGAGAAGATCATGACAGTAACCTTTGGGGATGGACATTGGAGGAAAGCTGAAAGGTTGGGCTACATAGAGCCAGTGTGACAATATTCCCAGGGTTTCTTGGACAGTACAGTTAAGTTTTTAATCTACTGCGCATGGAAAAGGTGGGACACTTCATCCTTAAGTCTATGTCTGACACACAGTTAGGTTTTTAATCTACTGCGCATGGAAAAGGTGGGACACTTCATCCTTAAGTCTATGTCTGACACACAAGTAGGTTTTTAATCTACTGCGCATGGAAAAGGTGGGACACTTCATCCTTAAGTCTATGTCTGACACACAGTTAAGTTTTTAATCTACTGCGCATGGAAAAGGTGGGACACTTCATCCTTAAGTCTATGTCTGACACACAGTTAGGTTTTTAATCTACTGCGCATGGAAAAGGTGGGACACTTCATCCTTAAGTCTATGTCTGACACACAGTTAGGTTTTTAATCTACTGCGCATGGAAAAGGTGGGACACTTCATCCTTAAGTCTATGTCTGACACACAGTTAAGTTTTTAATCTACTGCGCATGGAAAAGGTGGGACACTTCATCCTTAAGTCTATGTCTGACACACAGTTAGGTTTTTAATCTACTGCGCATGGAAAAGGTGGGACACTTCATCCTTAAGTCTATGTCTGACACACAGTTAGGTTTTTAATCTACTGCGCATGGAAAAGGTGGGACACTTCATCCTTAAGTCTATGTCTGACACACGGGTAGGTTTTAATAAGTAGAGGTATTTTTTCTGTTCCCTCCCCCCACCATGGTAGTTAACACCTAGTTAGCTTTGTCTTGTCTAGGTCCCCCCCTCCCTTTTACCATGGTAGTTAACACCTAGTTAGCTTTGTCTTGTCTAGGTCCCCCCCCCCCCCCCTTTACCATGGTAGTTAACACCTAGTTAGCTTTATCTTGTCTAGTAAGAAATGTGTTTTCTGTACCCTCAGGTAATCGTCACGGCCTCCTTGTCCCCAACACGACTACAGACCAGGAGCTGCAGCACATACGTAATGCTCTACCTGATTCAGTGAAAATCTACCGGGCGGAGGAGAAGTTGTCAGCACTGGGTAATGTCATCGCTTGCAATGATTATGTTGCCTTGGTGCATCCCGATCTTGACAGGGTGAGCTTTTGTCTGACTATATCTGAGTCTTTTTGTGTTTGTATGTGTTTATTTGTGTTGTTGATTGAACAGAAACTTGTGATTACAAGTTGTCATCTCGAACCCTCAACACCCACAGCGGTAAAAGAGGAAGTGAAGAAGAAGAAGTAATCTCAAAAACAGTGCAGGTCTTTCTATTACCAGCCTAGCTCTAGACACTGAGTCGACTGTGAAATACTCCACACCTGTGCTAACCCACATCCCACCCCATTGTGTTCATAGCTTGACTATGATATTTGTGCCTGTCAGCCGACACATACATCTTCAGGCATTTGTTCGCTGTGTTAGCCTTTCCGGTTAGATTCGTAGAGCATTGCACCATCTTAATTTTGGGGGTCATCCTTGTTTCAGAATCCACAGTTGGTGCTCCATCAGGTCTGTCCAGACCAGCCACATAATGCTGGTTAGTTTTCAAAGAATTGCAGGTACAGAAGATGAACATCCCTCGTCATCCACGGCTCCATAAATGAAGAGCCGATACATGGTGCTGTGATACTGAGCTCATCCAAGGAATTTTCACATCTGGCACAAGACTGTTTATAACTTCTGTATATTGAACCTCTCACTCATCATGGGCTGCCACGTTTGAAGCATCAGGTGTGCAAACCTGGGATTTCAAATACCTACACAAAATGAATTCTTTCCTTTTCAGCATTGTATACTTTCATTGTGGTAGACTTCATTGCCATGTGTATTTTCATGTGACATTTTCCTTAAGTCCTGAAGTCATGCATGCATCTGGGGATGATGTGAAGTCGTGCATGCATCTGGGGATGATGAAGTCGTGCATGCATCTGGGGATGATGTGAAGTCGTGCATGCATCTGGGGATGATGAAGTCGTGCATGCATCTCGGGATGATGAAGTCGTGCATGCATCTGGGGGTGATGAATTCATGAATGCATCTGGGGGTGAAGTCGTGCATGCATCTGTGGATGATGAAGTCGTGCATGCATCTGGGGGTGACGTCGTGCATGCATCTGGGGATGATGAAGTCGTGCATGCATCTGGGGATGATGAAGTCATGCATGCGTCTGGGGGTGAAGTCGTGCATGCATCTGTGGATGATGAAGTCATGCATGCATCTGGGGGTGATGAAGTCGTGCATGCATCTGGGGATGATGAAGTCGTGCATGCATCTGGGGATGATGAAGTCGTGCATGCATCTGGGGATGATGAAGTCGTGCATGCATCTGGGGATGATGAAGTCATGCATGCATCTGGGGATGATGAAGTCATGCATGCCATAGGTTTTACACTTGCAGGTTCTTGGACACTGCATCTTGGTATTGTTTTATTTTTGGATGTTAAACATGTTGGATTCACTCAAAGGATGATCTCATGTTTACATGTGCTATCTTGGTTGTCAGCTGTGTTTACATGTGCTATCTTGGCTGGCAGCTGTGTTTACATATGCTATCTTGGTTGTCAGCTGTGTTTACATGTGCTATCTTTGCTGGCAGCTGTGTTTACATGTGCTATCTTTTGGCAGCTGTGTTTACATGTGCTGATATCTTGGTTGGCAGCTGTGTTTACATGTGCTGATATCTTGGTTGGCAGCTGTGTTTACATGTGATATCTTTTTGGCAGTTGTGTTTACATGTGATATCTTGGTTGGCAGCTGTGTTTACATGTTATATTTTGGTTGGCAGCTGTGTTTACATGTGATATCTTGGTTGGCAGCTGTGTTTACATGTGATATCTTGGTTGGCAGCTGTGTTTACATGTGATATCTTGGTTGGCAGCTGTGTTTGCATGTTATATTTTGGTTGGCAGCTGTGTTTACATGTGATATCTTGGTTGGCAGCTGTGTTTACATGTGATATCTTGGTTGGCAGCTGTGTTTACATGTGATATCTTGGTTGGCAGCTGTGTTTACATGTGATATCTTGGTTGGCAGCTGTGTTTACATGTTATATTTTGGTTGGCAGCTGTGTTTACATGTTATATCTTGGTTGGCAGCTGTGTTTACATGTTAAATTTTGGTTGGCAGCTGTGTTTACATGTGATATCTTGGTTGGCAGATGTGTTTACATGTGCTGATATCTTGGTTGGCAGGAAACAGAAGATCTGCTGGTGGACACGCTGGGAGTGGAAGTGTTCCGTCACACGGTGGCCAACAATGTCTTAGTGGGCAGCTACATGAGCTTCACAAACCAGGGGGGCATGGTGAGTGTCTTGTGTATCCTTAGTGTCTTGTCTGTGTATCCTTGGCGTCTCATGCATTTGTACATAGCATCTCTTGTTATGTCTGTGGTGTGTGTCTTGTCTGTGTATCCTTGGTGTCTCCTGCATTTGTACATAGCATCTCTTATAATGTCTGTGATGTCACATATTGGTATCAGTGGTGTTTTGTGTGTACATGGTGTCTCTTGTGTTTACATGTTTATGTGTACATGTTGTCTCTTGTGTTTACATGTTTGTGTGTATAGTCTCTCTTGTATGTACACTGTGAGTGCTGTAGTTCCTTGTGTGTGTGTGTACATGGTCTCTCTTGTGAGTGCTGTAGTTCCTTGTGTGTGTGTGTACATGGTCTCTCTTGTGAGTGCTGTAGTTCCTTGTGTGTGTGTTCATGGTCTCTCTTGTGAGTGCTGTAGTTCCTTGTGTGTGCGTACATGGTCTCTCTTGTGAGTGCTGTAGTTCCTTGTGTGTGTGTACATAGTCTCTCTTGTATGTACACTGTGAGTGCTGTAGTTCCTTGTGTGTGTGTTCATGGTCTCTCTTGTGAGTGCTGTAGTTCGTTGTGTGTGTGTGTATATGGTCTCTCTTGTATGTACACTGTGAGTGCTGTAGTTCCTTGTGTGTGTGTACATGGTCTCTCTATGAGTGCTGTAGTTCCTTGTGTGTGTGTACATAGTCTCTCTTGTATGTACACTGTGAGTGCTGTAGTTCCTTGTGTGTGCGTACATGGTCTCTCTTGTGAGTGCTGTAGTTCCTTGTGTGTGTGTACATGGTCTCTCTTGTATGTACACTGTGAGTGGTGTAGTTCCTTGTGTGTGTGTACATGGTCTCTCTTGTGAGTGCTGTAGTTCCTTGTGTGTGTGTACATGGTCTCTTTTGTGAGTGCTGTAGTTCCTTGTGTGTGTGTGTACACAAGTAATGATGTTGTCCTGTGTCACTAACACAACAGTGTTGCCATAAATTCAGACAGGACATGGAGTTAGGGGAGTTGTCGTGGCAGAGCGGCTAGACGCAGGCCAGAAGGTCGTGGGTTCACTCCCGGACTATTCTTCAAAAATACCTTGACTCCCAGGTCGACCCAGCCTTGAGTGGATACCGGGTGCAGTCGAGGCGGCCAGCATGATGCTGACCGCATCACCCATCTTGTGCCGACTGGTCTAGAAAATATAGGTCCAGCCCTATATGCTCTATACGCCTACAGGCGCAGAAAAGGGTTCTTTATTTACTTTTACTATAGAGTTAGACATGTCAGGTAGGCAGGTAGACACCACAGTCACATGTCAGGTAGGCGGGTAGACACCACAGTCACATGTCAGGTAGGCGGGTAGACACCACAGTCACATGTCAGGTAGGCGGGTAGGTGACACAATCACATATCAGACAGGCAGGAAGGTGACACAATCACATGTCAGACAGGCAGGAAGGTGACACAATCACATGTCAGACAGGCAGGAAGGTGACACAATCACATGTCAGACAGGCAGGAAGGTGACACAATCACATGTCAGACATGTGAGATGGTCACATGTCAGGTAGGTGACACAGTCACATGTCAGATAGGCAGGTCGATGACACAATCACATGTCAGGTAGTTGAGACAGTCACATGTTACCAGGTGGGCATGACAGTGACATGTTATCAGGTGGGCAGGTAGATGACACAATCATATGTCAGGTAGGTGAGACAGTCACATGTCGGGTAGGTGACACAGTCACATGTCAGGTAGATGATACAATCATATATCCTTTGAATGTTGATTTCCACAGGTTCCACCAAAAACATCCGTAGAAGACTTGGATGAGCTGTCATCACTTCTGCAGGTCCCACTTGTGGTTAGTACCTTTTTTGTTGACCGTCTTGACATTGATTCAGTGTTGACTGTCTTGACATTGATTCAGTGTTGACTGTCTTGACATTGATTCAGTGTTGACTGTCTTGACATTGATTCAGTGTTGACTGTCTTGAAATTGATTCAGTGTTGACTGTCTTGACATTGATTCAGTGTTGACTGTCTTGAAATTGATTCAGTGTTGACTCTCTTGACATTGAATCAGTGTTGACTGTCTTGACATTGATTCAGTGTTGACTGTCTTGACATTGACTGTTTTGACATTCATTCAGTGTTGACTGTCTTGACATTGACTCACTTTCTTGACATTGACTCACTGTTGACTGTCTTGACTTTGATTCAGTGTTGACTGTCTTGACTTTGATTCAGTGTTGACTGTCTTGACATTGACTCAGTGTTGACTGTCTTGACATTGACTCACTCTCTTGACATTGACTCACTCTCTTGACATCGACTCACTGTTGACTGTCTTGACATTGACTCACTCTCTTGACATGGACTCACTGTTGACTGTCTTGACATTTACTCACTCTCTTGACATCGACTCACTGTTGACTGTCTTGACATTGACTCACTGTTGACTCTCTTGACATTGACTCACTCTCTTGACATTGACTCACTGTTGACTGTCTTGACATTGACTCACTGTTGACTGTCTTGATATCGACTCACTGTTGACTGTCTTGACATCGACCCTATGTGACTCTCCTGCATGATTGTCTCAGCATAGACTACTATTTGGTGCAAGATTTGATTAGTTTTCTGGCTCAACTTGTAACATAACAGATTTGACAATTTGTGTTAGTGCCATGTCTTTTATTATCTGTAGAAAATTGTGTCATTGCCATATCTTCTATTGTCTGTAGAAAGTTGTGTTAGTGACATGTTTTCTGTTGTCTGTAGAAAGTTGTGTTAGTGACATGTTTTTTGTTGTCTGTATAAAGTTGTGTCAGTGACATGTTTTCTGTTGTCTGTAGAAAGTTGTGTCAGTGACATGTTTTCTGTATAAAGTTGTGTCAGTGACATGTTTTCTGTTGTCTGTAGAAAGTTGTGTCAGTGACATGTTGTCTGTATAAAGTTGTGTCAGTGACATGTTTTCTATTGTCTGTATAAAGTTGTGTTAGTGACATGTTTTCTGTTGTCTGTATAAAGTTGTCAGCGACATGTTTTCTGTTGTTGTAGAAAGTTAAGTCAGTGACATGTTTTCTGTTGTCTGTAGAAAGTTGTGTTAGTGACATGTTTTTTGTTGTCTGTATAAAGTTGTGTCAGTGACATGTTTTCTGTTGTCTGTAGAAAGTTGTGTCAGTGACATGTTTTCTGTATAAAGTTGTGTCAGTGACATGTTTTCTGTTGTCTGTAGAAAGTTGTGTCAGTGACATGTTGTCTGTATAAAGTTGTGTCAGCTGTTGTCTGTGGAAAGTTGTGTCAGTGACATGTTTTCTGTTGTCTGTAGAAAGTTGTGTCAGTGACATGTTTTCTGTTGTCTGTGGAAAGTTGTGTCAGTGACATGTTTTCTTTTGTCTGTAGAAAGTTGTGTCAGTGACATGTTTTCTGTTGTCTGTAGAAAGTTGTGACATGTTTTCTGTTGTCTGTAGAAAGTTGTGTCAGTGACATGTTTTCTGTTGTCTGTAGAAAGTTGTGTCAGTGACATGTTTTCTGTTGTCTGTAGAAAGTTGTGTCAGTGACATGTTTTCTGTTGTCTGTAGAAAGTTGTGTCAGTGACATGTTTTCTGTTGTCTGTAGAAAGTTGTGTCAGTGACATGTTTTCTGTTGTCTGTATAAAGTTGTGTCAGTGACATGTTTCCTGTTGTCTGTATAAAGTTGTGTCAGCAACATGTTTTCTGTTGTCTGTATAAAGTTGTGTCAGATACATGTTTTCTGTTGTCTGTATAAAGTTGTGTCAGTTACATGTTTTCTGTTGTCTGTATAAAGTTGTGTCAGTTACATGTTTTCTGTTGTCTGTAGAAAGTTGTGTCAGTGACATGTTTTCTGTGGCACTTGCAGGCAGGGACAGTGAATCGAGGCAGTGATGTCCTAGCAGCCGGGCTTGTGGTCAATGACTGGATGGCAGTTTGTGGACATGACACCACCTCCACAGAAATCTCCGTCATAGAAAATATTTTTAAGTTGAACGAACACGAGCCCTCAAAGATACAGACACATATGAGGGATGCTTTAGTCGATACGTAAGTGTTTCATACAATTCAGTTATCTGCTCGTCGATGCATCTTTCGTACAATTAAAAGATGATTACTTTATTTATGTTTCTTTTAAATGAGGGATGAATTACGTATGGTTTGTACATATAAGGTAAGAATTAGTTGTTACATATTTCATACAAATAAGGGATGAGTTAGTTGATTCTGTATCATACAAATGCTTTAGTAAATGTATACATGTTCCACACATACAAGGTGTGTATTTGTTGATACGTCCATGTCTCACATATGAAACCTGACACAGACAGGTGATGTTTCAGTTATCCAAAAATTACATGTGGATGGAAGACAACGCAGTAGATCAACACTCTGGTGTAAAGACACAAATAAAACACATCTAATCATCTGGGGGGGGGGGGCACAAACCAGGGTGTCCATGGGAGGGGGGCACAAACCAGGGTGTCCGTAGTGACAAAAGATAAGGAAACACACAACAGGGTCTGTATCCAATAATGTTTGGTTAAGAAAATCAAGACCATGAAATGCTCTGACACGCTGTAATTGCTCTTCTTGCAGGTTGTCATAAACATCTTAAGTCTGGATGTGTGGACTTGGACCGGGGATGTCTGTGGTACTCACACAAGAAACTACAACCTTGCAGGCACTCAAGTGGTCTTGTAACTGAACATCTTGTGGTGGTGCATGCTGGGTGTCACCCTCTGGATAAATGTCATTAATCAGTGTTTTATATTCACCAGCAGTAGATAATAAATTACAATGATGGGAACTTGCTGTCATATTTGTTTTGCGCCTGTTGTGATTTTTTCTGTTTGCTTTTCAAACCATGGATTCACCATTGACCTTGGATTGTGAACATTTAACGGTTGTTTAATTATGTCGCATGTGGAGCATGAGAGGACATGCTTGGTGGTAGTCTGCTGTCTGAAAACAATACATGGAATATGAGAGGGGAAATGGGAAGTAAAAATTTGTGTTTTCAGAGGATACAAATAGTTTAGAAAGATAACACAGCAAATCTGAGATAAATATGTTGTCCCTGACTCATGTAAACTGATTTGCTAAAGTTTGACCAACCAGCTGGCAGATCTAGTCTGAGAGTGTAGCCAGTTTTCTCTACCTTTGCTTGCCTGTTGGCAAATACGGACCCAATTTGGAATTCAGGGCAGTCATGAAATGTTTGATTTATTAGAGGTCAGCGGTAACTTGTCAGGTTTGTTCTGTGTTCATGGAACTGAGGCAGAAAACAAAGTCGTGAGTTAGCATCAGGGGACTTGAGTTTTGAAAACCTCAGAAAGAGTTTGACAATCAACAGAATTACGCACACTTCGTGTGTCCAGACTTTCGGTAAGACAAGTAGCAGCAAATTGTGACAACTTCTGCCTGTCAAGTGATTGTTTTCTCTGAGCAATTAGCATGTCGTTATTCAACAGTGTTTAGTTTTTGTCTGTGAACATAGATGTCTGGGGTTTGAGTACTGGAAGTTTTAAAGCAACATTTCTTCTTACTAAGGTCTGAGAGCATATATAGCCACCTTTCATGGCTAGAGAATGTGACAGGTATTGTTGACAGTTAGAGAATGTGACAGGTATCGTTGACACTTAATGTGACGGGTATTGTTGACAGTTAGAGACTGTGACAGGTATCGTTGACAGATAGAGAATATGACAGGTATTGTTGACACTTAGAGAATGTGACAGGCATTGTTGACACTTAGAGAATGTGACAGGTATTGTTGACACTTAGAGAATGTGACAGGTATTGTTGACAGTTAGAGAATGTGACAGGTATTGTTGACACTTAGAGAATGTGACAGGTATCGTTGACAGTTAGAGAATGTGACAGGTATTGTTGACAGTTAGAGAATGTGACAGGTATCGTTGACACTTAATGTGACGGGTATTGTTGACAGTCAAAGAATGTGACAGGTATCGTTGACAGTTAGAGAATGTAACAGGTATTGTTGACAGTTAGAGAATGTGACAGGTATCGTTGACACTCAGAGAATGTAACAGGTATTGTTGACACTCAGACAATGTGACAGGTATTGTTGACACTCAGAGAATGTAACAGGTATCGTTGGCAGTTAAGGAAATGGCACATGTTGTGTGCATGTGGTGAGAATCAAAATCACACACGTCGTTTGCATATAAAGAGACTCAAAGTCACACACGTCATTTGAGAGACCTCATGGAGTGTTGGTTGCATGCGCTTTATGCAAAATATTATCAGGTATATTTCCTGTGACATTTGTTAAATATCACTGGAATCATCTGTTTAATATCACTGGGATCATCTGTTTGATATCGCTGGGATTATCTTTCCTGTTCTCAACAGAATGTAGGGTTGCTGCTGTTGTTGGACTCTGACAGTTTGACTGTTCTATTGTAGTGCATACTTTGTTAGGCTCTGACAGTTTGACTGTCCTGTTGTAGTTCATACTTTGTGACAAGTGAGCAAAGCAACAGTGTGAGGTTGTTGGTGGAGAAATCTGTCAAAACTGAAACATTTCCAGTCTGGTTACATTTAAAACTGGGTTGCAGATGTGCCTTGTCTTTCTTGTTGATGGAGTCTGTCCAGGTTTTTGTACCTGACTGGATGCAGCCAGTGCCTTGATTGCCTGTTTAGAAGTTGATTGTGTGTGATTGTTTCACTTGAACTCCTCTGTTGTGTGATTGTTTCACTTGAACTCCTTTGTTGTTGTTTGAGGCAATTTTTTGAATTCCTTGTTACAGCAGTTTTGTCTTCAGAATAAAATAGAACATGTTAGTGTAGACACTGGTATAGTTTCTCATTCAAGTGTATGGGAACTTACGGCAGGTGTGTGTGACTTGTGGCTGTCGTCACAGGTGTCAGATTGTTGTTTGTCAGAAGTTAGTTAAAGTCAACATTTCTGCACTGTCTGATATAATGACTGTCCTGGCGTTCCAGCATAACCCAGGTAATGTAATCATGTAATAGAAGTACATTGGTACGCACTCCAGCATGACAGGACCCAGACAGTGTAACCCATGCATCGACTTGAAAGATAGAATTACATTTGTACCCACTCCAGCATGACAGGACCCAGACAGTGTAACCCATGTATCAACCTGAAAGATAGAAGTACATTGGTACCCACTCCAGCATGACCCAGACAGTGTAACCCATGTATGGACTTGAAAGATAGAAGTACATTGGTACCCACTCCAGCATGACATGACCCAGACAGTGTAACCCATGTATCAACTTGAAAGATAGAAGTACATTGGTACCCACTCCAGCATGACAGGACCCAGACAGTGTAACCCATGCATGGACTTGAAAGATAGAAGTACATTGGTACCCACTCCAGCATGACATAGCCCAGACAGTGTAACCCATGCATCAACTTGAAAGATAGAAGTACATTGGTACCCACTCCAGCATGACAGGACCCAGACAGTGTAACCCATGCATGGACTTGAAAGATAGAAGTACATTGGTACCCACTCCAGCATGACAGGACCCAGACAGTGTAACCCATGTATCAACTTGAAAGATAGAAGTACATTGGTACCCACTCCAGCATGACCCAGACAGTGTAACCCATGTATGGACTTGAAAGATAGAAGTACATTGGTACCCACTCCAGCATGACCCAGACAGTGTAACCCATGCATGGACTTGAAAGATAGTACATTGGTACCCACTCCAGCATGACAGGACCCAGACAGTGTAACCCATGCATGGACTTGAAAGATAGAAGTACATTGGTACCCACTCCAGCATGACAGGACCCAGACAGTGTAACCCATGTATCAACTTGAAAGATAGAAGTACATTGGTACCCACTCCAGCATGACCCAGACAGTGTAACCCATGTATGGACTTGAAAGATAGAAGTACATTGGTACCCACTCCAGCATGACCCAGACAGTGTAACCCATGCATGGACTTGAAAGATAGTACATTGGTACCCACTCCAGCATGACATGACCCAGACAGTGTAACTCATGCATCGACTTGAAAGATAGTACATTGGTACCCACTCCAGCATAACAGGACCCAGACAGTGTAACCGATGTATGGACTTGAAAGATAGTACATTGGTACCCACTCCAGCATGACATGACCCAGACAGTGTAACCCATGCATCGACTTGAAAGATAGAAGTACATTGGTACCCACTCCAGCATGACAGGACCCAGACAGTGCATTGATAAAAGATGAAAGTACATTTGTACCCACTCCAGCAACATCTGACTGCTGTGAACTAGACACAACATATTCTGAGAATTTAATGCTGTGACTGGTATTGTGACCCAGGAACCCACTAGCCATCTCCAGTGACACCCACCTGACTGGCCAACAACCCGCGGATTATTCACACTGTACAGCACCGTCAGTGAGCCAGGTTTTTAGGCACGGCTCCGATTTCATGGCAAATGGGTCAGCCCCATAATTAATCCATTTCTCTGCTAGCGAAAAGCACACAAAATGTGTCTCTCTGTCCCATGTGAAAACCACATAATATGTCTCTCTTTCCCATGTGAAATGTCAGGCAGCAAACCTGCAGAATCAAACAGCTTGCGCATGCATTCATTGCTTGGACAGGTGATGCTGTCTTCTCACTTGGACTGATATGGTTATCTTCTGCCTGGTCATCTCTTGAGAAGGAAACCATCAGAGTGATCACAGACAGAGCCTGAAATGCTGATGATCTGCAAAGAACTGACTGTCCATCATCTAATTCCTGTCTGATATAAATATACTGACTGCCGGTATGATATACTGACTGTCTGTTGTGTACTGACTGTAAATCCTGTACTGTCTGATATACTGACTGTCAGTCCTGTACTGCCAAATATACTGTCCTGTACTGTCTGATATACTGACTATCTATTGTGTTCTGCCTGATATACTGACTGTTTATCATCTATTTCCTGACTGATATACTGACTGTCCAACATCTAATGCCTGCCTGATATACTGACTGTCCATTATCTAATGCCTGCCTGATATACTGACTGTCCATCATCTAATGCCTGCCTGATATACTGACTGTCCATCATCTAATGCCTGACTGATATACTGACTGTCCATCATCTAATGCCAGACTGATATACTGACTATCCATCATCTAATGCCTGACTGATATACTGTCCATCATCTAATGCCAGACTGATATACTGACTGTCCAACATCTAATGCCTACCTGATATACTGACTGTCCATCATCTAATGCCTGACTGATATACTGACTGTCCATCATCTAATGCATGTCTGATATGCTGACTGTCCATCATCTAATGTACTGTCTGATATATTGACTGTCCATCATCTAATGTACTGTCTGATATATTGACTGTCCATCATCTAAAGTACTGTCTGATATACTGACTGTCCATCATCTAATGTGCTGTCAGAAATATTGACTGTCCATCATCTAATGTACTGTCTAATATACTGACTGTCCATCATCTAATGTGCTGTCTGATATACTGACTGTCAGTCCTGTACTGTCTAATATACTGACTGTCCATTGTGTACTGTCTGATATACTGACTGTCCATTGTGTACTGTCTGATATACTGACTGTTCATCCTG